CTGGTGAAGGTGGTGACATTTGGCCATGTGTATTATAGTAGAACAACCTGCGATCACTGTGCCCATACATTGGCGTTTTATGACTACGATATTGAGAACGTTTTATTGTTGCTGTATGCGGTGTTGGATTCACCATTAAACCCTGGCGTCCTGCTGTCACATACTTCGAACAGTGCCGTTCTGTACAGCACATTTTATATTTTCGATAATAGCCACCACCTCCATTGTCATAACAATTATCCGAATCTGATGACGATTCATCCATTGTGCTAAAGCTATTACTGGTGGTACGTTTGCGAAACACTTTTCGCCTGGTGGTATTTCTAATAACATGTGTGGTCGGGGTCATATATTGATACATGGGATTTTTATGAGATCTAGCCGAGTGGTGGATTTCATTGTAATTGTAATGATGCATTGCGGCTTCTTTGGCCAACCGACGACGTAGTCTCAGCTCATTTAAATGTGAGTCTGCCAACTCATTTGGATCGTAACCATATTTATCTCTCAAAGCCTGGCGTGTACTCTTAACCATTCGATAGGTTTTTATCATCATAGTAGTGGATGCGGAATTTTTAATATTCGCACTTCTACTCGATTTGATATAACGTGCAGTTTCACCGGAATTAAATGAAGCATCTGAATCACTTTCAACCTCAGGGTGATAGCTCTTCAATGGCATACTAGGAACAGGCAAATGTTTTAAATGTCCCTCCACCAGTCCACGTTTATTTCGAACATGACTGTGAGAAGGTATTCTTCTATCGTTACTGCTATCGACCATTGAGGAATTATTTCCACCACACAAGGAATTATTTCTTCTCAACCAACCGCCAACTTTCTCTTCAATTTTCTTAGCATCGAATGTATTTAGAATGCGATCCAATCCAGCCTCCTTCATTTTACGATTGTGTTCATTAATTACGGGTAATGTTTCATTAAGCATTCCAATCAATTCATTACTTGCTCCATTATTTGTGGAGTCTGTTAACAAAGTTTTGTTTACACCAACACCACCAACCATCAATGATAGACGTGTCGAATTGGTAATATCTCGCAAGGCCTCCGCATCAACATTATCCTCATAGTTTTCATCTTCCATTGATGCTAATGCCTCATCGTCGTCGTCTTCTTCTTCATCCTCCGGGGAAACTATAAATTCCTCTATACGATCTAAGGGAATTTCACTTTGATTTTCAGATTCTTGGATATTCTGTTAAACCAAAAAAAAAAGAAAAAACAAAAAAATATATTTGTCTCCGTTGCAGAAGCCTTGAATAGTAAACTCACATCAAGAAAAGTGGCCCACAATTTGGAACGTTCATAACTCAGCTGCTGTAAACGTTCCAAGTCAATTATTTTTGCAGTTTCTGCCGCAGACATATTCATTGTTTACATAGGCGTCACTAAAATTTCACATTGATATTTTTAATATTTGTTAACAATTTGAATAAAACAATTTTTTACAAAGAATATCTTAATGGCGTCATTGTTTTTTGAAGCTTTTCTCCCGCCTGTTTCACCGACTTCACAAAACATTGAAAAACGTTCCACCTATTACGAATGAGATGGGATAAGACAAAATGCCCGATAAGGAGTGTAGAAGCGAAAGTTGCGAATGAGGTGGGATGGAAGATCAATACAGGGTTGCATTTGAAGTTGTGCACGTTGAACACAATTAATGTGGATGGCGTGAGGCGATTAGCGTCTGTATTGCTCACAATGGAACGCTTTGCAATTGTTAAAAAGAAACGATTAATCTAATTTAATAAGTTTAAAAAATAATGTAAATTTAAATGACAGACATAATTTATTTGTCAAATAAATGATACAGACATAATAGTACGTTTACATTGTACCGGTTTATTAAATCCAACATGGTACAATAATACAAGGTAGGGCAGCTTGAGTTATTGTACCGAAAAGCAACTATGCACGTGTGGCTTCTTCTGTCAAAAATAAAATAAATATTTGCAACAAGTGTTTGTGTTTATTTGACATTTTCCAACACAGAACTAAGAACGGGAAAAATGAATATGATTTCTTCCCAAAATCCAGTAGGGAATACCATAAAATGTTTGTTTCATCCATAACAAAGTAATTATTTCCAGGCGAACGTGTTAAAAACATCATTTTCATTTCAATTAAATTTTAATATATTTCAATTTATTTTGAATTTATTTGACACAGTATTCAAAACAATACACACACAAAATATGTATTTTGATTTGATGGAACAAACCACCTTGAGAAAAAATTGTAATCAGTAGGTAGCTGTGTCCTACTTTGTAATAATTATACCACGAAATCCAATAGATCTAAATATATAATGTTGTAGTTGTACTGTGCATCCTCCGGAATCCATGTTGATGTTGAGGGCTAACCCGTCAAAACGTTCTAATGTAAATCTCGTGTAATAAACATTTAATTTAAATCGACCATTAGAATATTTGTACATCAGATGTCAATTCATCTGTTAGAATTGAGATATGTTTAAATCAACCCATTATTTAGATTGTAAATATCCGTAATGGTACATCAAATACATGAGTTATGTGCTGCTGTCGTTCTTCTGCTTCTATAGGTGGTGCGTGGACTCAAAGTACTGCATTCACATGGTATTGGTTCGAATCCCCTTCCGGGATTCGAGAGTGACTTACCGTTGCCCACAATTTACTTGTTGCGGCTCCAATGTTGCAAAGCTTCAGGTGGTCTAGCGACTTTTTCGCTTGTGCTCGCATATCAATATGTCGACTTTAACGGTTAGTTCTTTCACTCTTGGGCCTTAAGGTGATGTACGACGAAGCTGAAAAGTTCGGTCTCACTTCGGTTATACGACCAGCAGGTATATGGCGGGTGGCCGCAGCTGTGATGATGCCTCGGAATTTAATCTCATTTACCCGAGGATCTGGGGAATGGGCAGCTCTTTGAAGCGGCGATTGGTTAAATCTATGAAACCTTGCTTATCAGATTTACCATGGTTCAGGAAAGTTCGGCGTTCAGAGGTTATAAAATCTGGTGGTCTATTTACGGAGACGATGATTGGGAGGTGGTCGTAGCCAAGAAAAATGACGATTTGCCAGACTACGTCATAAACAATAAAATTTCACAAAAAAAAAACTAAAAAACATAATGTTCTTACTGTTTGAACCTGCTCGATTAGTTTATTGATCTGAATGCTCCCTTTTTTTACTTTGGACAACCTATATGCGAAATGATCGGTGTTATTATGAGGCGCCCTATTACAGAACGGCATCCATGATCGTGCAAAATTTCAAAAATTTCTTCCTTAAGAAGAGCAATGAATACTAGTCTGGAACGATTTATTAAGAAACTTCACATAGCGCCCAACGTAATATAAAAATGCTGTCAAAAGCAATATAGCTCTAACGCTGTTCTGCCAATTATTTTGCGGTGCCGGTTTGCTTACGGAAACCACTTTGATGCTTGACCACTGGACATCTACTTTTGATCCCTGATCTTACACTATGTAGGTTTCTTCTTTCCCATTTTGAAACTATGTGTATACTATGTATATGGAAGTCCTATTATTTTTCCAAGAACTCGCGGACCATTTAATCACTGTTTTACACGTAGCGCATATACTCTGCGACCAAATTGTTGACTCCCTGAAACTTAAGTGCAATAAGAAAAATTAAACTTTAAACCTGTGACCTGACGGTTTTGAAAATCTAGAATTTTTGGGTAATTAGCGACCCACAACAACTAAAAAATATAATTAGAGGACCTTAAATTTTTACATCCTATGTTCAATAAGGAAACAATTTTCCAAAAAGCCCAAAAACACGAGATTTCAAATATTTGAGGCTCCAGTGTCAGTTGTAAAGGGAAAAGGAAGCACATATGAGGACTTCAGGTTTGGCAAGTTAAGTTGGTTTATTTTTTTGTAAAAGAATAAAGGAAAACTGCGTCCAAAATCAAGTTTGACTCTGATATTCCTTTATAAATTGATTTTTCATATAAAGCCAACTTAACAGGCCAAGCCTGAATTCTCGTATGTGTTTCCCCCTTAACATCATCCAATTTTGTCTTGTTGGGTGTCATCTGGTTCGTCATCTAGTCGTCACAACCATTCAGGGATAGATGTTGATGTAAATTTGTCAATTGACCTATACCCTCACCGCCAAGAGTTTTTAAGAAAGTCTGATACGTCGTAAACAAAATAATATCGTCAATTTCTTTGAATATGAAAAACAAGGCTGGTCCTATCATGGCAAAGATCTCTGTTATAATCTACCTCACTGGAAATTACCAAATCTCTCCCATATTGGGCCTTTGAATTTCGGTGCACGTTCGTTCGGTAAAGTTAATGTAAATTGGGTACATGTTGGTGCAAATCTTTATACACTGTGTGCTCATTGACAACACAACCTCACCTCTTGTGTTATCAATTCAAAGTGAGTGCTTGCCATCATTAGCAACAGCTGTTATTCCCAATTTTATCTTAATTACCATTCTATACACAAAAAATTGGGAATTTTATATTCTTCTCATGCCTACACATTCTAAACATAGTACGTTTTTCCTTTTACACCATTCTCTCTTCATTGGATATTTTCTTTTCTTTCTTTCATTAACTTCTTGTACTACACTTGTGTGTTGTGTCATATCATCTCATATGTCTGTCAAACGTACGTTTTAAGAGTGGAGTGAGTGGTGGTAAAGCGCGTGAAATTTAATCGAATAGAAAATATTGAAAGAAAATTAACAAAATTGTTAATAGAAATATTAAAAAAATAAAGACTAGGATTCGGCAAAGAAGGAAACTGAGAAAGATTGCTAAAAATAGTTGGCAAAGAAGAAAGACACTAACAAATTTCGGGGGAAAAGTGAAAGTGTTGAAAAAAAGAATTGTCAACTGCTGGCTGGCTAGCTACTGTGTGAGAAAGGTCAGCGCAAAATAGAAATTATACCGATCGTCTTATCATCACACGCATTCAACAGGCAGTTAGCAATAAAAGAAGTGACAAAACGCAGCCATGCTGTTTCTAAGGCGTCTTTTTTCAATGGCCGCCGCCGAACCACTGAATCAACCCAGTGACTTAATTGGTTACTTCCAACAACATGGGCCACAAATTTTAAATTCTGCCGGTGGTGGAGCTGGTGGAGTTGCGGCAGTCACGGGTCTGGAAAGCCTGTCATGGTTACACAACGTGGCTCCTTGTTTTCCACTGCGCGGAGAACAGATCCAGGTGATAAATGAACCAAAACATTTCTATGAGACATTGCTGCAGCGCAGTGCCTCAGCTCGGGAAAGGATTGTCTTGGCCAGTTTATATTTGGGTACGGGTCAGCTGGAAACAAATTTTGTACAGACCCTGAGGAAATCTCTGCAGCAACAGTCCGCTTTGAGGGTCAATGTACTGCTGGATTTCACCCGTGGCACAAGGGGTGTGGTGAATTCGAAGACCATGTTACTCCCTCTCATCCAAGATTTTGGTGATCAAATCCAGCTGAGTCTTTATCACACCCCCAATCTGCGGGGTATAACAAAACGTTTGGTCCCCGCCCGTTGGAATGAATTATTGGGCCTGCAACACATGAAAGTCTATCTCTTCGATGATGCAGTATTAATTTCCGGGGCAAATTTGTCCAATGACTACTTTACCAATCGTCAAGATCGTTATATCCTAATTGAAGATAAGCCTCTGGCGGATTTCTATGCCGGCTTTATCTCACGCGTACAAGAGTTCAGTTTGACAGTGCAAAAAGATGCCGAAGTTGCGCTGCATCGCAACTGGCAATACCTACCCTATGAAGGAACCAAAGATGATTTCACAAATACCGCGAAGAAAAGTATAACAGATTTTATGCGGGATGTCTATCAGAAACAGCAAACGGTATGCCGAGAAACCAAAGATGCCGATTCATGGATATTTCCGCTGGTGGAAATGGGACAAATTGGAATACATCATGATAGTGTGGTAACCAAACGGCTGCTGTCGAATTGTATAGAAAATTCCCGCCTGAAATTGGCCACGGGATATTTTAACTTAACGCAGGAATATATGGACACGCTGACGCACAAATGCCTGGCCCAGTGTAGCATTCTAATGGCCCATCCCAATGTGAGTAGGTTTTGGTAAATAAATTTATTTAAAATTAATATTTTTTTCTTCTTCTTTCTCTTAGGCCAATGGCTTTATGGGTGCCAAGGGCCCTGCAGGTGGCATACCCGCCGCCTATACCCTCATCGCCAAAAGTTTTTACGAAAGTCTGGTACGTCGTAAACAAAATCATCGTGTCAATTTCTTTGAATATGAAAAACAAGGCTGGACCTATCATGCCAAGGGCCTCTGGTATTATCTACCTCAATCGCAACTACCAAATCTCACTCTTATTGGATCTTCGAATTTCGGTGAACGTTCGGTGAATCGTGATTTGGAGACACAGATTTGCCTGGTAACCGCCAATGAGGGTCTAAGTCAAAGTCTGCAACATGAAAATGAACGTCTTTTCAATCAATCCACAACCGCCGAGAATCAAATCACAACAAGGCCAGTACCGCGTTGGGTACAAGCAGTAGTGGGGCTGTTTCGAACATTTTTCTAGACGCATAAAGAAAAAAAACAAAACAAAAATACTGGTTTATTTGTTAAGTTAGTTAAATTTCCATTGAAAAGTCCTTCCCATAGCTAGATTTATACAGAAAAAGGAAAAATTCAAATTATTCGAATTAACCCATATTGAGTTATTGATAACCTCCCCCCGCACCAACAAATGACAGACTATCATCAAGACAATTCTAATTGTATATACCCAAAAAAATGAAACTATATACGCAATTAATTTGTAAAATGTTTAATTCATTCTATGTTATGTGCCTTTATTTGTAATGTTAACTTTTTTGTTCCTACAAACTCACACACACATACAGAGATTAATTGAATGCAGAACAAAGGTCATTTTTTTGAAGAGTCAATAGGCTCGTCGATAATAATATTGTTGTGAACATATTGCCCTTCTATTTTCTTTATATAAAAAACCAAACAACAACATAATGTATATTAATGCCAAAAAGCTGTTCTTCTGTGTTCGTATACTTATGCTCTAAAAACCACAATTTTTTATTTTAGATATTTATGGAATGTTTGTGTATGAAAAATATACATTTTTGGGTATAATTATGTTTAAATGGAAAAGATTATATTAAATAATTATATAAAAATAATTTTCACTTGTTTAAAAAGAACAAAAAATGGTGTTTTATTTGATAGGAGAGTTATAATTTCCTATTTTTATATAGGTAACATTTTTAAAAATATGTTTTCAAGGCATAATAAAGGCGTGGATTTTTTTAAAAATATTTGAATTAAAAATAAAATATTATTTTAAAAAATTCAAGCCTTGAAAATATATTTAAAAACTATTTTTTAAAAAATCTGCACCTTGCAAAAATATTTTCTTTACATCTTACTTACTTAGCTGGCTTGTGACAGAACTTTCGTTCTATAAGCCGAGTTTAGAAAAGATTTCCAGGCGCATCGGTCTTTTGGCGCAGTTTTTTCCAATTTGAAAGACAATTTTCGGCAATGTTGTCTTCGACTTGATCTTGCCATCAGCTGGGCTGGGGCATCTTCATCCATTCTCACAACATGACCTAGCCAACGTAGTCGCTGCAGCTCGATACGTCTAACAATGTCGATGTCCGAGAATAGCTGGTACAACTCTTGGTTCATTCGACGGCGATATTCACCGTCAACGCAGATCGACCCATAGATCTTTCGGAGAATTTTTCTCTCAAACACTCCAAGAGCTGACTCATCTGCTTGCGTAAGTACCCATGCTTCAGATCCATATAACAGCACGGATAGTATCAGCGTCTTGTAGAGTTTAAGTTTGGTATGGCGGGAGGTGGCCTTGCTTTTGAGTTGTTTGCACAGACCATAGTAGTATCGGTTGGCCATCACTATCCTTCTCCGAATTTCATAACTGATGCCATTCGTTTTGTTTATGGCGGTTCCAAGGTATAAACAATCTTTGACTACCTCGACGCTGTAGTTCCACAGTTGGTCCGATTCTACTGGACGTCTTGGCCTTCTCGCTATTTACTGCCAGACCCACTTTGGCAGTCTCCTTCCCAATTTGTTCAAATGTGGCTGTTACCGCTCTCAATGTTCGACCCATTATAGGCGAGTAACATGTGTTGTTTGGTGTACAGAGTGTCATTTCTGTTCATTTTTGCCTCTCGTATGACCTTTTCCAGCAGGATGTTAAAAATGTCACACGACAAACTATCACCTTGTCTGAATCCTCGTTCGGTGTAAAAGGGCTCCGAGAGGTCCTTTCCGACGTTAACTGCTGATCCTGTGCCTGTTAGAGTTATCCTGCATAGTCGAATTAATTTTGCAGGAATGCCAAACGCGGACATGACCTTCCTGCTTCTTGCCTCTCGTATGACCTTTTCCAGCAGGATGTTAAAAAGGTCACACGACAAACTATCACCTTGTCTGAATCCTCGTTCGGTATTAAAGGGCTCCGAGAGGTTCTTTCCGACTTTAACTGCTGATCTTGTGCCTGTTAGAGTTATCCTGCCGATGTCGATGTGTTTTTCGTGGGTTTTTTCCAGGATTTGGAGCAGAGTGAAAATCTGGTCAATGATGGATTTGCCAGGTCTGAAGCCACATTGGTATGGTCCAATATTGTCATTAACCATTGGCTTTAGTCGTTCACACAGTACGCTGGATAACACTTTATATGCGATGGGAAGGAGACTTATTCCTCTATAGTTGGCACATATCGTCTTGTCTCCTTTTTTGTGCACGGGACAATGGATGCTGAGGTTCCAATCATTGGTCATGCATTCTTCTAGCCAAATTGTACTAATCAGCTGGTGCATGCTCCGTACCTGCATCTGTCCACCAGTCTTGAATAGTTCGGCTTGTAACCCATCGGCACCTGTTGCTTTATTATTCTTCAGCCGATTGATTGTTATTCTGACCTCATCTTAGCTAGGTGGTATACAGTGTATACCGTCATCTATTATTGGTTCTGGGGTATCCACTTCACTGCTACTATTTGATATCAGAAGATTTTCAAAATGCTGCTTCCAGATCCTCAGCACGCTGTCTGTATCTGTCACCAGGTTTCCTTCTTTATCTCCACAGGAGGATGTGCGTGCACCAAAACCTTCGGTCAGGTGTTTTACTCGTTGCTAAAATTTTCGGACTTCATTCTGACTCCTGTTCATCTCGATTTGCTCACGCTCACGTTTTTCTTGCTCTTCTCTTTTTTGAAAATACGTATTACGTGTTGCTACTGTCCGCAGGGTCGCCCTATACACTGCTACATTCAGTAGCATTACGACACTCCTGATCGTACCACGGATTTCTTGATGGTGGTCTTTGGTACCCAAGTGTTGATCTTGCTGCAGTTTGTAGGGAGTGGGCAATTCTCTGCCATTGTAATTCTATATTATTGTCGGGACAAGGGGTGCTTTCGTCAAGTAGTTGGGTAAGTTGAGCGAAGTAGGCTTCTGCTATCTGTTGTGTTTGCAGCTTTTCGACGTCAAATTTCCATGTTACATTAGATCACACCTTTGCTGTTACATTAAGACGGATGCGTACCTTGGCTGCCACAAGGTAATGGTCCGAATCGAAATTTACTCCCCGGATTGATCGGACGTCCAGAACACTAGATAAATGCCTTCCATCTATCACAACATGATCGATTTGATTTCTCCTTGTTCGATCGGGAGAAATCCAAGTGGCCTTGTGTATATCGAGATGCTTAGATCTGGTGCTGCTAACTACCATGTTTTTTTGCTGCCCCGAAGTTAATCAATCTCATGCCATTGTCTGATGTTTCGACATGGAGGCTGAATTTTCCGACGGTGAGGCCAAATATATTTTCCCTTCCGATTTTTGCATTAAAATCTCATAGTAGAATTCTAAAGTCATGGTCTTAGTCTTTTTTAATTTAGTCTTGAAAAAGTATTCTTTTAAAAATGTAGGTCTTGAAAAAGTATTCTTAAAAAGTCTACGCCTTATTTAGGTCTTCAATAAAATATTGGAAAAAATCTACTCTCTTTAAAAATCATCGCCTGTTTTAGGCATTGAACAGATATTTCTTAAAAAACTACGCATTATATAACCCTCGAAAAATATTCTTACAAAATCTTCGCCTTATTCAGGCCTTGAAAAATGTAATAATTATTCAAATTTAAAATCAATTTAAACCGTTGTGCTATAAACTTCATAATGCGAACCCCCTTTGTATAAATAATTACTTATAATTTCCCCAATGGGAAGTATTTGGTATTCAATTGTTGTCGTCTTTATTTACCTTCATTCGTAAACACATATTGCTCGTTCTCACTCTCATGATTCTCTTCTCTCAAAAAAAAAAAAAACAAAATATTCATACTGGGAGAGAGAGAGAATATTAACAAAAAATATAATAATTAAATTTAATAATTATAATTATTAAAAAATATATAAATTTTATATAAAAAAATAATTATTTTTAATAAATGTTTTTATTTTTTTTTTAATTCCCATAAATTTGCACGATCACAACAAGTGTTTTCCGTTTCAACGCCGTTCACTAATATTTTTGACGCCGTCAAGGTGTGTAACAGCCAGCTCCATATTCTCTGCATGTCAGTTGGAAAAATCATTCGTTGACGTTAGGTTGTGTGAACGGAGAGTTTGCCGTTCTTTCGTTCGTTCGTTGAAACAAAATACGTGTTCGTGTATGTGTTTGTGCGAATATATGTGCGATCGTGTTGTGTGCGTTACATTTGCCTTTTACAAATTCGGCTAACTGTAAAAAATGCAAATTACATTGTTTTGTTTACCAAAAAAAAGTAAACAAAAATATTAAGAAAGAAATCAATTTATGAAAATTTAACGAAATACAGAAATAATTAAAAGGAAATTTGGTGAATAAATAAATGCAAAAATTAGCAAAATAAAAAGTTCCAATAAAACAAAACGAAAGAATATCTTCCAATCGAAAGTAAGGCGATTCTTGAATGGAGAGTTAAGTTAAGAAGTTGTCAAAAAAGTGCAATTAAAGTGCATCCATCAAGAATTGGAATACCAAAAAAGTGATTGTGTATTTTTTTGTGTGCCTGTGTGTGCCTTAAAGAAATACAAAAGTTTTGTAATAAATCAATTTTAAAGTGGATATTGGATACCTCCCGAAAAAAATCGAAACAAAATACAAGGATTATTATCACAGCTGGATATCATCATTACCTATATGAACGTCGAGAAACGCAACGAGAAAGGAGAGAGATACAGTGAAGAAGAAGAAGGTACATACAAAGGAAATGACATGACATTTATGTTTGTGTTGTTGTTTTGTTGTTTGAGAGCAGGTTCATAGTGAGTTGTAGGGGGCACCTGGCAAATGATGCAAATGGAATATTCATTCATTCGTTCGAGAGAAGCCGATGCGCTAACACGTTTAACTGCGTTTAATTTTCTTGAGTGATACGCTTTTGACAGTGGCATTTTTACCGTTACTTCAATTTGGAAAAAACCACTTCTAAATATTAGTTTTTCTGTTAAATTAGTTTAACAAAACAACTTTTTTTTTCTTGATTT